TTCAATCATTACAAAGGGACACAAGGACATGGGCAGTGTTACAAAAGTTATCTATGGCTACGTATAGTTTAGACAATGAAAACTAGTAACATCGGTAAAATTAACAACTTGACATTCCAAAGTACAATCAGTGAAAACTAAGTTGGTCAAACTGCACTCATTATCTAAAGTATAACCTCACCTTAAGTAAAAGGTACATTCTTATACAAAAAATGAATAAATAAAAACATTTCTGTGTTTACCTCACATTCTGTTATACTTCTCACTGTGTAACAGAGACGAAAAAAAGGATTATTCAAAGCACCATGAATGCGATGCGAAGCCCAAAGGGACTGCACCTCAGCAACTCCTCTGTTAGGAGAAAACTGGGTGCAGCCCTAATTCAAAATTAGCTTCTGTTTTTTATTGTAAAGACAAGGAAGTTTCACAAGAAATTTCAGTTGATTCAATCATTACAAAGGGACACAAGGACATGGGCAGTGTTACAAAAGTTATCTATGGCTACATATAGTTTAGACAATGAAAACTAGTAACATCGGTAAAATTAACAACTTGACATTCCAAAGTACAATCAGTGAAAACTAAGATGGTCAAACTGCACTCATTATCTAAAGTATAACCTCACCTTAAGTAAAAGGTACATTCTTATGATAAAATCTAAGTATAATTATTTCTGAAGTTTCCCCCAACAGACAGCTTGCCCCCAGGAAACATTTTTTTCACATCTTTCCCTTCAGCAATTCTTAAAATCTCTTAACAGGATCAGTATGACAACCAACTATTAGCTCTAAAATCATTAAAGTGTACAATCCCATACCTAAGCAGTGATTAGAGTTGATTAGATGGGCTGTTGCCCAGCTAGCTGTGGGCTGTGGCTCCCTACCTGAGGGCTTTTGCCCTATACATACATTTACCTAAAAACCCTATTCTAAAATCAAATGAGAATCAAAAATTCTAACCCTCCACAACATTCTTCAGATTATGAGGTTGTAATTTGGCCTGCCCTGCCAGGAGCTCTTCAAGAAACCCAAAGCACATTTTTATGATTCCCCAGCCATATAAAGGGGTCACTGACTATCCCAGGAGGATGGCAAGCCACCCACAGCCCAGTCATCAGAAGCAGCAGACTCAGGGCCAGAGAGATACCACAATTCTTCCAACCATCCTATCCCAACATTTGGTCCCATGGTTGATGTCTGGCTTAGAAAGGGGCAAAGCTCCCTTACTACAAGTTTTAAAAGAGGTGCGGCTGAGATGGTTTTCATCTTTTCTCTTCCACACAAAGTGCTCCTGAGTTTCTGCATGCACCTGTACCTGCATTCACCTTACCCTCACCCACCTGTACCTGTGCTCACCTGTACCTGTACTCACCTGTACTTGCATTCACCTGCACCCACATTTACCTGCACCTGCATTCACCTGTATCTGTATTCACCTATACCCACATTTACATTTACCTGCATCCAACTGGTCCTGCATTCACCTGTACCCACATTCACCTGCACCTGCATTTGCCTCAACCACTTGTCCAAGGCAGTCTCAAGCCTGTAGCTTACACAGTGGCCCACACTACCTAAACCCCATCTTCCTGGGATGAGGCCCTTGCAACTTCTCATTCCTTCACCTCAGCAGGACCAACTGAGCAACCTAAGTTTTCCCTCCTGAGGAGAACAATTTCCCACTTACTTAACAACTCATTATTTCTCCCTGGTGATGCACATTTATTATCCTTCCCACCACTACCCCTCTCTGTGGAAGCCCCTCCTTTGGTAAGACCGGAAAGCAAAAGATAATGTCTGAACCAGCAGAGAGAAGATATCTTTGAAGTGAAGGGGGGTGTTCAGAGTTGTCTACAACCCTTCACTTCTGAATGGTTGCAAGGCCCAATTTCATAGTTCCTATGATAGCATCTGCTTAGATGAAAAAGAAAGTATCAATTTGAGTAACCTCAATATACAGTCCAGGTCCAACCCTTTATTAATGTGGCTGTCATTAAGGAATCATGGCATCACATATGTTATTAGTTATTAAACATACTGACTACCTGTAGTGGGGAAAGTGTCCACTGGAGTAATTGCTTTTGCATGGCTACCCTTTTAGGAGCCTTCCACCTCTTAGTCGCTGCTGCCCTTTAGGTGCTACAGTAGAAGGAAACCTAGTTCACACATAGGAGGCTGCTTTTTCCTAACATGAGCAATACAGTGGGTACTTTGGTCAGATGTTACTTAAATGCCAACATTAAATGATTGGTGAGAATGTCCACCATTGCTGCAGCTGTATCAGCAAAGCTGGACATTACGATCCAAATCCCTGAAAAGGGTGTAGTGCATCACCACTAAAGCACACCGTTACCAGCACAGATAGGCATAGGAGCTACACAATCTACCTGCCAGTCCATTTCTACCCAAGTATCATTTGGGACCTGGCCACAGAGGTGTTTCTTGGGGGTGTGGGAATTCATGCTCAATACAAAATACACCCCAGCTTCCATTTCTCTTCACCTTTTTGATAGTGAAATCATGTGGTCTTGTATGAAGAGCAACGTGAGACCCTGACTTTCATCGCCTGTGGGCCCATAAGATACATCACCAGGTCAAGTAAATAGATCCGCCATGGAATTCCAACGAGCCAAAGAAGTATCCTTATTTAAATGGCACTAACAAGTGCTAGCCATTCAAGGCTTTGTCATAGTTTCCCAGAAGGGGATCTCTCTTAATAATCTACCCCAGCCTGTTCTCTAATAAAATGAATTAATGAGGGAACAACTAGAGCTCCTAGTGTACACGTTAGTTCAGAGTAAAAGCCTCTGTATTACTCAGGGTTCTCCAGAACCAATAGAAGGAAGGGGGAGAGAGAGAGAGAGATTATTTTAAGAAATTAGCTCACAAGACTTGGAGGCATGGTGAGTCCAGAATCTGATGGGGAAGGCCAGTGGGCTGGATACCTGGGGAAGAGCTGCAGTTCAAGCCTGAAGGCTGTCTGCTAGAAGAGTTTCCTCTTGCTTAGGGGAGGTCAGTCTTCATTCCACTAACGCCCTCAACAGATAGGATGAGGACCACCCACATTACTGTGGGCTTTATTCAAAGTCCACTGATTTACTTTACATGCATTTTTTTTTTGCTTTCATTTTTCTTTGTTTATACCTCTTGTTTTGAAACATAATTGATAATGCATGTTTGTGACTTACAGATTTCACTATCAGTACTGTGCACAATATGTGATGATCAGATCAGGATAATCAGCATATTCACTGTTACAATAAGTAATCATTCTTTGTGTCCATTACCCAATTTCTGGCTGACCCTCCTCCCCTTCCCCCTTTCCCACCTCTAGTAACCACTGTTCTGTCCTCTCCTTCTGGAAGTTAAATGTATTATTGTGATTGCTCTTTCTTTCTTTCTCTTTATTT